AAAATCAATAAATGGGCTAAGGAACTGAAAAGACACTTCACGAAAGAAATATAATCAATCAACAATATATGAAAAAATGTTCAACATCTTTAGCAATTAGAGGAATGCAATCAAAACTACTCTGAGATTTCATCTCACCTGAGTCAGAACGGCAATTATCTAGAATACAAGCAACAATAAATGTTGGTGAGGATGTGGAGAAAAGGTACACTCATAAAATAATTCTTAAAGTCTATTGGATCCCCATGATTTCTGCTTTCATTGGACCTTCAACAGTGCTCCATTATTTCATAAAGTACTCTTCTTTCTTGGCACCTACAATACCACTTTTCTTAACTTTTCTTTTCTCTGAATAGTCCTTCTCTTGATCTTCTTCCATTCTACCATCTTCTCTTCTTTCTTCTCTTTTGCTAGGTTGTCTCATCTTAACCCAAACCTTACTGCTCATCTTTGGCCCCATGAATCTAAACCCATTTAACCTACAAAAACTTAAATACAGGTGGCTAGGGTGTGGCTAAGTGGTAGAGCACTTGCCTTCCACATGTGAGGCACTGGGTTCAATCCTCAGCACCACATACAAGTAAATAAACAAAATAAAGATACTGCGTCCATGTATAACTAAAATATATTTTTTTAAAAAAACTTAAATGCATGTTTTCCCCATAATATTTATCTTTCTACCTTTCCTAGCTAAGAAATTGGCATGACCACTCACCCAAGTGCTCAAGCCACATGTCTAAACATCACAATTCCTTCTTGTTCATCTTTTATAGGAAGTTTATCAACAAATACTGTCAACTATAACTTCAGAATATAACTCTTCTTCTTCCTGTCTGCCACCATCCTGGAGCACACCACCATTACCTCTCACCTGAATAACTGCAATACCTCTTCTATTTATTCTTATTTCCACTTAGTCTCCAATGCATTCTTTACTCATTATCAGCAATCTGTTATAAACATACAGTCAAATTATGAGATAACTCTGCTTAAAACCCTTCTGTGTATTTACATTTAATTTATAATGTACATAATTTCTTGATGGCCTACAAGGAGCACCATGATCTTGTTCACATCTGCTCGCTCATCCCCAGCCATTCCCAGCCTTGCTTGCTTTACTTGGGCCAGATAGACGACCTTCAGTTCATGAAACCAGCTACCTCATTTCTGTTACAGTGCCTTTCCTCTTCCCTAGAATGTTCTTCTCCTTGCTCTTTATGGGGATAAATGCTTCATCTTCTCAAGTACTGCTATCTCAGAAAGAATCTTTAAACATTAACTGATCATCTAACTAAACAGCATTACTCCCTTCAAGTTTGTCATAAAAATACCCTTTCATAGCACTTTTTTTCATTTGTTGTATTTGTGGGTCAAGTTTATCAATGGATTTCCATGTTGTTAATCCAATGAACATTTCATAACCATCTAGCTTATCTCATCAGTAGCACTTGGCACATTTTATCAGACCCTCTTCCTTGAAATACCTTATATAACCTTCAAGGTATGGTACACTGAAGCCCTCTTTGCAATAGCTAACTTAATTTTCTTGAATTTTCACAATGGCTGTTGTTGAATAATTAGTAACCTAACACCATTCTACCATGGTAAAATATTTATACTAACCATTATATTATCAACACAAGACATTTTTCTTAGTTTTCCTGCTTTGCAAAAACATTTTCTTGATCATTCAACAATGAAGTAGCCCAATTTTTAGACCCTTTCTCTTAAATTAAATCTGTCCTCATTCTCCAGGGAATCTCATCCAGGCCCATGGTTTTAAATATCACTTACTTATCACTTCCGAATTTGTGTCTCTAGCCCCAACTTTTCTGTCAAACATCAAATTCCTTCCGATTGCCATGTGAATATACTCATGTCAGTGTGAATCTTAGCATCCAAAACTTAATATTCAGATATGATTTGGTTTGCTCCCTCCCTCCAAATATGCTCTTTCAAGATTCCTTTCCCTTTGGCCAAACTATTGATTCTACTC